TCCCTGTTAATAAAATGAAATCTTTATTTGTGTATACAGGGATATATAATAGTACCCATAACTCCTTTAGTTTTACGATAATGGATCACATTCACATGGCGGCCATGTTCCTGTGACATCACACTCAGGGTGGGAAGCTGAAAAAGCTGATCATGTCATGCGGTTCTGGTGTGTAAGTTTTATAAATGTTGAGAATCTCACAAACTGTCTTTCATCAATGATTCAATAACAAGCTACAAAGACGATAAACACTAAAAAAATCTCAAAAAAGATGTTGCACATCAAGTTTGAAAAACATAACATAAAGTATAATTGGATACAGTAATGTAAAAATAGCAGTGGAACTTGAAGGGATAGCCATACATCCAATAAGTTTCACCTCAAGATCGCTGAATGTGTTCACATTTTTAATCATATCCATGATTCTCCGGGCATTAATGTTAGCAGAGAAGTGGCTGAATGCTAACTTCAGCTGTGGTTGTGTTAGCTAATGGGTTATCAAACACTTGTTTTCTAAAACTTGGAATATGGCTCGATTTATCTCCAGAAGTTCTGTATCCATTGTCTTTGTAGTTTCTTATTGATTGGGGAGCATTACACTGAAAACAGTTTTTCAGGTTCTTGAAATTTACAACTTAAATGACTTTTAGCCTGTACAGTATGACTTAGGCTAAAGAGCCTCCACATGTGGCTCATTTGGGACTAGTTGTGGCTCTTTTAGGTCCTACTTTCCCACACATATTTTAGGAACAGATTAGATTTTTCGATTGTGGCTCTTGCAGAAATAGTTTTTTGGCTCTTAAGTCTAACAAGGCTGAGTACCACTGGTCTATAACATGATCTCCCACTGTGCTCTAATGATGATTTAAGCTTCCCTACTTATTTCACTAATCATCATGCTGGTCACACTCACTATGTGACTTATGAATGGAGTTAATAACTACAATCCCTGAAATCCACAACTAAGAGTTTTCAGTCAACATTTTTACTCAGATTTAAAATAAGCAGCAGGAGCTTTTTAAGCTACAGCCTGGTTGTGGTCGAACAGTCTCAGGAAGAAAAAAAAAAAAACAGGCCAACAAGAATGAAAACCAGAAAAGAACACCCACACCATAATGCAAACTTTAAAAGCTTATCAAACGCTGGATCTGCCTTGAACTTTGAACATGCTCGGCTCCTCCATTTCTGCACACACTCTCTGAGAGGCTCTTAATGTGCCTTTGTGTCACTGCTGCAACAACAGACCTGCCTCCTGGTGTCTGGACTAAAAAGGTTTTCTTGCAATTATAGAAAATTGCTGCAGTAGGTTCTGAGCCTGGAAGTAGTGTAATGATTTTTCAGTGGCGTCTGAAATGTATATGAATTAGATGAATGTTCTTCCTTTTGTTCTCCCGGGTTCTTCAGACTATTCTAGCAGAGCTGTTTTAGAAAAATCACACTGAGAACTGTCTGTGCTCATGCAGTCAAAGATTAGGCAGCTGCGTTTCTTGTCCTCAGTTTTTAGTCAGGCTGACTTTTAGCTTTCTTTCATATTGTAAATGTTGGCATTTGTTACAAACAGCTTTATTTTAAATGCACACTCAAGGGCCAACACTTCCTGAATATTTGTGGGGCAAACGCAATTAAGGTTTGACAAATGGCCTTTCTTAATATCATCAAGTGCACAGCAAACACACATTTGTATTTGAGCATTATTAAGTAGGGTGTAATTTGTGGATTTGGTAAGAATCTGATCATTTATATGAAGTGGGAAATAACGACTGTCTTACAACAATGTCAAATAATTTGTTCAAGTTTATATGGCTGACCGAGTCATGCTATCCTTTCACTGCTTGAAATAACCCATAAACTGACTCACACCACAAATAAGGAGGACTCGTCATCCTCCCAAATGTCTGGCAATCCTCTGCCTTTGGGCCCCGAGGGTCGTTCAAATGGATGGTACACGAGCAGCCGCGTGTCCAGCACTTTGTGTGTGAGTGTGCTTGTTAAAAGAGCAGCCTGCTGGGACACCAACACACGCTTGCCACAAACAGAAAACATCTGTGACGCCCACACCGATAGCGGCTCTGCTCGATTACTGGACTCCCAAATGTCATCAGGGTGATAGCTGAAACATATGTGTCTATCACCGCGAAAACACCCTGTAATAAAAATTATCATATGTGCTAGAAAACGTTGGATGTGTCACCGCCAACACAGCCGGGGAAAAAAAACAGGTTTCACCACATGATTCATCGTCGCTGCGAAGAATCTGGCTAAACAAGGTGATGAAAACAGAAACAGGAAAGAAGCTGGTCAGCAGATAAGCACATTTCAGACTCACATGCCCCTGCTTCAAGTAAAGCACTCTTGAAAGCAGGCCTAGTTATTGCTCACTAGGTCAGTCATTACAATATTAGTAAACAGGCATCAGGCTTGAAGCCCCAAGTAGCCTGTAGCTGCTGCTGTGCACCCAATGGCACAGATGTCAACTGAGATTTCCTTACAAGTGTAATTATTCAACCAAGCAGGGCAATCTATGTTAGCACCAGATGAGTCACTCTGGTTTTGTAATGTGACCTCTAAAGACAGTGAAGTTAAGATCTCAAATCTGAAGAGAGATTCTGTAACAAGGCCTAAGATGCTCTTTTGTATTGTTCAAAATTATCTAGCAGCAAATTTACAAGTGTTGACAGATGAACAAAAACAACCGCAGAACAGAAGATGCACTGCATGAAACAGAGATTATGAGATTATAATATGGCTAATAAATGTTATTAGTTGTTCGTCTGTGCTGTTAGTCTCCATCATCCAAACAAGAAAACAAATTATCGCCATTCCCACTGGATGATATGTTCCTTGAACATGTCCACTGTCCTTCGCCCTCCTGCTAATGCGAAGACTCGCGGGAACGCCAAATGTGTGTGTTAATACGCAGCTGAAAATAGTCCCCATGAAGCACACTTTTTACTCCTCAGGACAAATTGTACAAACAAGTACAGTATGCACCTCAAAAAAATATTAAATAATGTATTCGTAAGCTGGTTTAGCTGAAGAATTACATAACCACAAGTAGGAGCAGCACAGAAGTCTCAAAGAGGGGGACAAACTGTCATATTGTTTGGCTTTGATTTTTTTTCCCAGTATATAAAAAGGATACATCTGTCTATCAGATTTTAGGACTTCAGTCATATGTGTGTTCTGACTAGCTGCAGCTGTCCAGCTGTATTAGGGAACTACTCTGTTATATTTTCAAATGCCCCCACACTCAGACTTCTTGTAATCATGACTAAGCCTATTTTTGAAAATTGCAGTTGACAGAAAAAATGACTGTTCCAGTAACATTTAAAACACAGGAAAAATCCTTATTAGCTACAGCCTATGCCTGACTCAAACACTCCTCTGTCTATAATTCATCCCTTCTTTCTGCTCAGCTGCTGAATCACCACCCAACTCCCCGTAGGTCACTTTACAACAAGAGCTCTTCACAACATTGCAACATGCCTTAAGCCTCCTTAGGCGGCTGAGGGAATGGAGTTCTCCCATGAAGTGTTTATTTATAGATGCTTGTAAAAACCACACCCAAAGATTACTGATGATGTTTCCCATGACCTTGTTCTGCAGATGATTATTGCTTCCCTCGTCTTTCAAATGGATCGCAACATGTAAAAGTAAGTAAACAACGGTTACTTCCATTGCTCTATAAAAATGTGCACAGCGGTGTGAACAAAAGATGAGTCAAAGTGATCACAGGTTACTTTTATTTTCTACTAAAATACATGTTTCATGCAGGTTTTGTCACTTTCCACAACAGTCAACAAAAACACAATGAAACTAGTGTAGATCCGCCTCAAGGCTTTGAGCCTCACCATTTTAGGCAAAGGAGGATTTCTAAGTCACTCAGTAATGTGTACAAAATATAAGTGGCTTTTAAACAGTGGGTGTTCATCTGTCGTTACATGCTGTTTCATGCTTTCAGCCAATCATACATGGCTTCTATGACCACTTACAGAAGTTAATGATGCCAGGGGGGGAAAGCCTGTCAGAAAAGAATGCTAAATGAAGTGGAGAACAGAACATAAATAAGTAAATAATTTACCTTAAGTAAGATATTGCTTTTTTTTTTTTTTTTTTTTTAATGACTGTATTTAAAATCAGTATACAATACAACGTATCCTAAATGCTATAGACAGATGTAGCTCGAGAATCTCCCTAATCTGTGTTCAAGACTCATGGATAGTGGTACAGTTATGTTGGTCTCTTCATCAGTAAGCTGGATGTGGTGAGAAACAAAATAATGTCTTTCTTTCTGTACGGTCTTGTTGCAAACTTCGTGGCACGGACAGAAAAGTTTGTGACACAGCTTGAATCTAAACAGTGGAGTTGAAGGCATATGTGAATCAGTTATACTACATGTAAAGGAGAGAGCGAGAGCGTGGAGCAAACTATGCTCTACGACACAAGGCCTGCTATGAACTTCGTATGAAAATAAAAAGGAGGTAGGCAAATTCTCTCCACTGCTCAGGACACACTGACGGTTTGAATAAGAAGCAGGGATGGGTATGAAGAGCTTGTCAAACATGCCACACACACACACACACACACACACACACACACACACACACACACACACACACACACACACACACACACACACACACACACACACACACACACACACACACACACACACACACACACACACACACACACACACACACACACACACACACACACACACACACACACACACACACACACTATAAGCTTGTGTAAAAGATGACAGTTCAGCACAGCATGCTTGAAATCTGCCTCCTAACCTATTAAAGTTGTTTCCTGTCTCACTCAGCTGCTTGCATATTAATGCTATTAAGATTTGAAATACCTTTCATGTAAACAAGGAGACAACAAGACACACGACTCATGCATGCATTATCATCTCCAAAAAGTAGAACGACAGTAAACACATACAGATGTTACTGCACAGCATATTTAGTGGCTGATTTTTTTTTTTTTAGGTTGCAGGAGTATTTTTTTTTTTAAGAGAGCTTTTGTTAACACAGGAATAAAGCAACCACAAATCAACGCATCTTCTTTTCTTTCTTCGTGCCCGTCTGCATGACATCATTAAGCGTAAACGACATGAACGCAATCTGCTCAAGTTCACTCTCTTTCCCACACTCCATCAGGCACGAGAACTGATCTTTGTCTCCGTTGTAGGCCAGGTCTGAGTAGCCGCTGGGCCCCCTGTGGATGATCCGGGGCCTGTCCCACCCCGACGAATGCAGGGGGGATCGGTTCAAGTACACGCCCATGTCCCTTCTGCTGGACTTGTCGGTTGGGTGGATGAAGAGGAGCCAGGTTTGCGTGTCAGGAGACAAGAGCGAGGTGCCGCAAGCCTTGCTTTCAGCATCATCGTTGGGGACAAATTCCGGGGCGGGGAAGCCGATAACACTGCCCTGACAGCCCGAAGGTGGTTCCACGAGCTCTGCAGCCATGTGGGGTTTGTCAAAATACACGCCGCTGTTTTCGCTCAAGGCCTCACATCTGTGCCCTCCGGAGTTACGAGCATTGCAATAAAGGTGACTCCTGCCCTCATGGTCTATGATTTCAGCCATTTCACATTCACATGACTTTTTTTGAAGCATCTTTCCTACACGCCACGTCTGTCCAAAGTCCTCGCTGTAAATGGACAGAGCACGTGGGTAAACTGTAAAAGGAATGGGGAAGGAACAGCATCTGTAAGGGACATAATAGGCGTACGCAGGGATGACCAATCTCCCGTTCTCCAGCTGAACACCGTGGCCGGGACCCACGGCAAATGTGGCCCACTTGTGGATGGCTTCCCCAATCACACGTTCTGTTAAGTCTCTTGCTTGGGTCCAGGTTTGCCCGTCATCGCCGCTGCTGATGCAGCAAAGGCGGGCCTTGTTCTTACCTGTCAGGATCTGCCGCGCCTCTGTGGTGTTCCCCAAGACGCAGATGAAAAATAAAAACAGGGTTTTGCTGTTTTTTTCATACACAGGGCAGGGATTCATGGTGCGGTGGTCTGATAGACACGCTGTTGACAGCTCCTGACTGGATGACCACTGAAAAACGAAGCAAAAATCTGAATGATTAGAACTGACGATGTTGGATAATATCCATATTACAATTCCACAATTCACTTAGCAGACGCTTTTATCCAAAGCAACGCACATCAGAGAGTGAGTACAACACTAATCCATTCATACACCGCCACCAAAGCAGGGGGAGCAATGCAGGGTTAAGTGTCTCAGCTCCAGTGTCCACATAGCAAGGGGCTTTATTTCTGAGTGGGTCATAATTACCTGAACAGAGCCATCATCTTTCAGCGTTCCTCTTCTCATCACAAGGATCTTGGCATCGTGGTCACAAGGGGAGGATCTTTTTTCTGCAAAGGCGAGGAAGGTGTGACAGTGCCTCAGATAAATGAGAGCAGGAATCCTGTATGTAATCCCATTTGGCTCCTTTTCAAACAAAGTTGTTTTGACTGGCTCCTCTCCACTGCCACTCTTTGACGGCGTGTTCCCCATAATGGATCACAATAATCTGTAAGCAGACAATGTTCATCTTAATGTAACACAAGATCTCCTTCATTAGTTCTGTTATTATCTTTGAACCTCATAATGATAGAGTTTACACTCCACCAGCTCCACATAGACAGACGTGTAATTTACATGGTGACAAATAAGATTCTCACGTGTCCTGCTCACCTGTAAAAAAAACAAAAACAAAAACAAAAAACACTCACCTTTACTTGTCAGTCTTCACATATGCAGCCCTTGATCTTCGCCTGAACGGCATAATATCTTCTAATATCACGCCACAACAAGAAACCTCTGATGTTCACGACACTGATGCTATGGGTTCACTAGGAAAGACGAAGACACTGAAGCGAGAACACGCACTCTTACTTACTTCCGGGTTCGCTTGGACGCGGGGTTCGTAAGACAGGACCGCGGGTTCAACCACCTAACTCAAGTGAAACCACACAGTCTATGAGTAAAACTCGGAAAGGTGCATTTTATTTCACGTTGTTATTTCTAAATTAAAGACGTGGAAGCGTTTAAGCGCCATTTGACGAAAGTAAACAAACCGACCGGCACTGCCACGCATGCGCATTGTGGACATTTTCCAAACAGGCGCTAGCTAACTAATTCGCGTAGACGAACTTGGGGTCGCGCATAAATTCGTCTGGCCAGAAAAAATTAGACAGAGTCGTTGTCTACGCTAAAAAAGTGTTAATATGTTTATTTACTCTTTCAAAGTTGTTAGCTAAGCGGATAATTATCTTATCGTTTAATTTAATCTTTGGCTACACAGGCTCTCCAGTTGCTTCCGCCTTCGCCTGGTAAAAGAAACGCTCGCTTCTTTACCGCCCCCTGCTGGACTGGATGACCACTAAAAATCGTCTTTCAGGTTGTTGCTAGGATACGAAGCACGACAGAGCAGCTCGAGATCGTATTGAATGTCAGAAGTAACAGGGAAAGAGCGTGATACACCTTTGAATAAAAGTTTCTTGGTGATTAATGGATCACACAGGAAAACAGGATGACATTACAGCATCGAAGAACGGAAGGTGGGTTAAGTTGAATCAGTATTTTCAAGAAATGTAAGCTTAACTTCTTTTATTTCTCTTTAAATCAATTAAAATTAAATACAGTTGGGATTTTAAAAATGTAGGTTGGACAAATAAAGTCGTCTAATTTGAATAAAACCTTTGGCTATCAGAAGTTATAATTACTTTTTTTCTGTTTTTCAGTTCCATAGCCATAACCTGAGAATACAATCGGCATATTGTGTAATAATCAGATAATTGTTAATGTGCAAGCAGTGTTGGCCAACAATATCATTTTTTAAATTTGACTTTCCTTGCAGGTGCTGGTCATTGGCTCGTGGCGTACAGAAAGGCAGAGGAGCAGAGATACAGGAACCTGCACAGAAGAATAAAAGAGACGCATGGAAAATGTGACAACAAGAGGGGAAAGGACCGTCGCCATGGTAACACATTGGATTCACTTTTTCTGGTAAGGCCCAGAGAGGTAAATATACAGAACGAGAGATATCCTGAGAACTGTTTTTGTGCCAAAATAGAGAAACGGCTGATCTGTGTTATAATCAAAGTTTCTGTTGTAGCTTCAGTCACATTGTGTTGACAGACCGTCTGAACTCTGTACCGTCAACGTCAGTGAGCAGAAACTGAATTCTGTAAGAATCACGTTTTCCCTCCACGTTTTTGTCAAAGTTATTTGTAAAAAATATTAACATTGTGTCTGTCTGTCTGTTGCACAGGTCAATCCTGACGACCTTAAGGAGTTTGTCAATGTAGCTTACATTGATGCATCGATCAACGCCCTCTCTCTAGGTGATTGTTGATTGACTATAAATCATGCAGATATGATTCAATTACAGATTATGTTTCTTCAAGTCTTTCCTTAAAGGATTTGTTTTGCACAGGGGCGTTCAGCAGTTTCCTGTCCTTAAAAGAACTCAATCTGTCGTTAAACGGGCTCCGCAACATGACGTTTGATGCTGCTGACTTCCCTCACCTCGAGGTGAGACGGCAGACTTTCCTCATATTAATTAAAGCTTCTGTGACAAGGTTTTAGCAGGTTAGGAAACAGACTTACATTAATGCTGATGCATCTTTTTGATCTAGTGAAGCAAAAAATCTGAAAATGGTTTCTATGGTTATTTATGCTTGTCCCCCCCTGCCACAGTGTAGGCGTCAAGGTGATAAATATCATGCTGCAGAAACAGGCTCTTTAAAAATATGTTCCTTGCCAGAGTTATAGTGGCTTCAGGTAGACATTTAAGATAAAAGAGGATTCAATCTTTTAAAACAAAATACTACAACCCTGGTTATCTGCTCTGTCCACTAGGGGGCGGCAAAAACCAACACAACCCAAATGTTTCTCACAGGAGCTTTAAATACACGAGTGCTATTACTACTTTCAATATGACATGTTTGTTTTGTCAGTATGTCCAAGGAGTGGCACATAACTTGACATGACTTTTTTTTTATAATTTAAAAGCATTTTAATTCCCCCAGAAACTTTCTAATCTTCATGTTGCTGCCTTGATTCATTTCATCTTGTTCCACATGTGTAACTCTGTAATAATGGAGAAGCTTTGCTATTAATGAGCAACCAACAGAGAAGATATGTGCTGTCTATTTAAGTTTCTATGTCTCTTATGATGTCTACATCAAGACTTTTATAGAGTGGTTTAATGTTTGAGCTGTGTTGGATGGTAAAGTCATTTTCAATAACTCACTTGAATCCTCACAGGTTTTGGATCTTTCCTACAACAATTTGTCAGCTGATTCTATTGTTAACATCGGTCGGCTTCCTCGCCTGAAAGTCCTTCATCTGACTGGAAATGAACTTCATCATCTTCCTCCTCACCTGTGTTCCTCCAACCAGAGCCCCGCACAATTGTAAGTAACTTGTAGTCTTTGAAAAATAAACTGTATTCATGATGACACAACTTGCTGTGTCAACTCAAGATGCTCAGCATTAAAACACTTCCATTCGCTGCTTCACGCTAATACTTTTAACCTTTCAACAATAATAATACTGAATTTCCAGCTGGGATTGATAAAGTATTTCTGATTCTGATGCGCTTCACTTCAAACATTATTTCCCCAATTGTTCCTGTAAAAAGACGATGAGTCTTGCTTGTACTCTCGGGTCACTTCTGTCAGACACTTCTTTGTGTAATGGCTGCAGAAGCCAACTTTCCACATGACAGCTTTTACAAAAAACTTTGATTTGAGTCACACGAATCGGGCACAATTAGAGACAGCTAATCCATGTAATTACAGGTTTTGTGGAGCAAAAATGCTAATTCATTCTTCAGCTACAATCTGATGCTTTCCACAGTCTGCTTCTTCTTTCTTACATGAGTTACTGCAGAACATATCTTGTTTTATGATTCAACAGTCAAGAATTACCATGAATTCAAGGCTACTGTTCACTATGGAATCAAAGTCCTTCAACCTATAGCCCTGCAGTGTGTGTTGTAACTCACTGTTAAAAATGTCAAATGTCTTTGCCAAAGATTTCTGACCATGTAGCAGTCATGATGAGCAGCGTACTTAACTGATAAGTTAGTGAATGATTTCATAATTAAACAAAATCTCTGAGAATATAATGAGAGAAAAAAAAAAATCAAAACACATTCTTGTGTCAAATTGACCACAAGGGGGTGCCGATGAGACAATAAAAAAATTCAAATTCACACAAATGTCAAGGTATTCTATAAACCTGCTGTGCAGCCGGGGATATAGAGCACACATGGTTGTGCATACATGGTGTAATAACTGTTCTTTTATGTATTGAAGTGCATTATAAATCACATTCAGCGTTATATATCAGACTTTTCTCATGATGGCTTCACGTTGGGCCTTTGTAAATAAAATATTAAAGAGTACAGTTAAGACCTGCTCTTTTTTGTAAAGTCAGGTAACATATGTTATGAGATCTAGCTATACAAATAAAGACTGATGATTAACTGTATAATGCTTCTGAATGTAATGTTTTTCTTTATGAACAGGCCCGCTGCACGAGAAGACTCACAGTTTGAAACTCTGGAAGTCCTGATGCTGGACGATAACAAACTCTCCTCAGGAGTCTTCAACAGTCTATCGAACCTAAAGAGGTCATTGAAGTGTTCTGTATAAAACAAAGTAGAAAAGAACATTCTGGAAACATTTATTAAATCTTTTAAAATGTTTGAATTACAGGCTTAAGTATTTAAACCTTCAGGGGAACCGCATTTCTAAAATACCATATTTGCAACCAGCGGGTTCTTCAAAAGCAGCGATCGAAGAGCGAACTGAAGAGCAGGGACCGGGTAAGCGTTTCAACATTTTGTTAATAAGCTGGTATGTCAGTAGCCTCAGAAAATAATTGATGATGTCATCTTCCCTCCCATCCAGCCCACACTGAGCCAAATCCTGTCACCAATGAAGATTTAAAGAGAACCTCTCAGGTGCTTCATCTTACAGTTGGTGTTTGAGATGCCTCCTCACTTTGTTTCAATCAGTTATTATATATATTATTATAATATTTGTATTAATCCCTCTTAGACTGAACACATCAAGGAGTCCTGTGGAGGCTCTACTTCACCTCTACCTGCTCTGCAGTTCCTGAATTTAGCCGACAACAAGGTGAGTAACATAATGTGTACCAAAAAATCAACCATGAGCTGTTTTAAGAAAACAAGCTAACATATCTCATCAGTGTTTCGTCATCAGATCGCAGAGGAGGACGGAGTGATGGCTGCCGCTCTTTTCCCAACGCTTCGAGAAATCGATATCTGCTCCAACCCTCTGACCATGCAGAGAAGTGGTAATCCTTCTGTTTTCTCCCACATGAGGCTGAGTTTAAGGATGGTCGGTGAATATGAAAAGCTCCATGTCTCTGTTTGAACACAGGCGACCCTCCTTTACTCACATACTACCTTCAGGACAGACTGGGGATTACAATAAGGCGAAAGAAGAAACAAGAAGCCATGAAGCTGCCAGTGAAGGTTTCCACTGATCCAAAATGGAAGGTTTGACTCTCCTTTGTTTTGTTTTGTCATCTTATTTTGACTCTTGAGATTTTGTTGTATGAACAATCGTTTTCCTTCCTATCGCAGGTCGAAGAAAGAACCCAGAAGGTGTTAAATAAGTCATCGATGAGGGACGCACCTTGTCCTGCTGAAACTCAGGGGGAGAGAAATGAGATGCACTTAGAGAAAACACCAGAATCCCTCCAAGAAGAAACTCAACACTTCTTTGTTACTCAGGTAGTCTTTAACCTTTGAGGTTATTCAAGAATCCACTCAGAACATTTCAAATGATTTCATTCTTTGCATCATGTTCAGGCAACAGATTTTGAGTTAGATTTCCAAAACAATGAGAGAGAAACATCAGAGAACAAAGTGGGACACAAGGCAGAAACAGATCCTGAAGGACTCCCGTGCTATGAAATGTTGATGGATGCAAACTCATACCCTGATGCAGAGGAGCCCATTGGTGAGGATTTATTGTTTCACCAGCAGCCATTTATTTTTTGGACTTTTCCCTCCAGCTCTTAAATAAAAAGTCTGGCTATGTAATCCGCCCATAGTGAAGGGGATAGTCAAGTTTTTTTTTTTTTTTTCATTTCCACAGGAATTCAAACAGCTGTTCGGATGCTGGAACACACGCTGAAGAATCTCAATGTTTACAGAGACTCCAAACCAAAGCTTGATAGCATCCAGGCCCCGTACAGAGAAAGAGAGAAAAGGGTTTGTACCACAGGATGTATATATGTTCAGTATTGAATTTAAATAAGTATAATTTCTTACTCTAAAAGAACCATTCTGTTTGCAGATTAAGAAACTTCCACCTTTGAGGCCAATAAAGCAGCCGTCTGAGAAGGTGGATGAAATGATCAAGGAAATCAAAGAGAGTACATCGATCAGAGAAGTCCCTTTAAGTAAGAACACTTCTGATTCAGTCGATGTCTGCTTCACATTTCTGCATAATGACTCTTTGTTTTCTGTTCAGGCAGCGCTGTACGCAACACAAGTGTTACCAACCAGGATTATAAGGAAGCTCAGTCTCTGCTGAGGGACATGAAGACAAAGTACAAAATGGTCCATCAGAAAACCATGGAACAAGTCGCCAGCGTTGAGATGGAGAGAAACACCGGCCAAAACGGAGCGGCGCCTCCACCTGTGAACTCTGAACTCTGAACTCCTGATGTAAAAAAGTGCTTAGCTAAGCTGTGATTTTACATCTTCTCTTTAGTATCATCTCGTTAGTGTTGGTATGCTATTTGTGTGAGTGGAATTAATAAGAACAGAAAGCACATGTCCTTAATAAAAGAAGGTTGTTGAACCCTGTTGTGCATTTTTTATGAAACAACAAAGATGATTCCCAACAGAAAACTACAGGAGACGAGAACTACAGTGCTTGTCATGACTTTTTTGTTAACTTAAGAACACCAATTATTTTGTTATATGGAGATGATAGCACTTGTTTCTCACTCTAAAGCTTCACTATCTGATGTTATCTTGATAAATCGAAGAGAGATTTCAGAAGATTTTAAACAGAAATGTATTGACTTTCCGCACGATCAAGGATTATTAATGTTGTGTTAATGTACTTTTGAGGTGTTAATTTATCTTATCTGGAAAAAGGAGAAGCATATTTGTTGCGGTAACAAAAAAATGTAACATGAATTGTTGCTTTATTATAGATAACATTATCCTTGAAAACCTGAAAGATCAGGTTTGGCACATGTGAAAGTCACTGTAAATACTGTGGGGGAGGATTCATAACAATTGAAGTACGATCAAATATGGTAGTTATTAAATTGACTTTTATAATGTAAATCTTTAGCATCAATTGTCAAGACACCAACTATACATGCATATAATCTCTGATACAAATAATAAAAAGAAAACAAAATGTGGGTTTCTTTTGGTGGGGGGGGGGGTAACAGATTCCTTGTTATCTTGAGATGACACATTTTCTTTTGTTCAGAGATAAGAGGCGTTATAAATTTGCATCAGTGCACATTCTTGGCCTCTACAGCGAGCAGATCCGCTCCAAACAGATCCGTATCAAATTCATTAATTCCAGTGGCGATTCTAGAGTCTGTAGGGGCCCCAGGCAAAAAATTATTGGGGGCCCCTCCAATCACTGTTATATCTACCAGTGTCCTGACGCTTCTTTTTTTTACTCCTAGACAAAAAAATCCCTCTTCATTTTCCTTCAGTGATTCTCATTGACACACTTTCACAGGACTTATACATGAGATGCTAAGCAGGGCAATGAGAGTGAGTGTTGTCAGATGGAGCCCCATTTTGAGCCACTGCTGTAGTTTAAAGTTTATCAGTCCTCCACCTCGCCTGTTGACAAGAAGCGCCTCTGATTAAATCTAGAGAAAGTTCTTCTGCATGAAGCAGTGACTGGGTGGCATCTGCTTTCTGTTTCCTGTCTGTTCCCATGAGTCAGTCTGATTAATACTGACACAGATATATGGTGATAGTGATTGATGATGGCGCAGCTGCAGCACCACGGCTACAACCAGAACAACATCATGCACAGTGTGTATGAGTGTGTGCCACTAGAGTTCAGCTGTGACAATGAAAGTGAAACTGGAGTTTATCAGTTTATGCTGTTTGTGTACATTCAGATCTTTTCAATCCAAAAAAAAGAAGTTTCATATTTCTCTGGTTCAATCTGTTTCTATCAGCGTAGCCTTAAATCACAGCCTGTCATTAAACTGATGGGTTTTTATGACTCTAACATGGCTTTGGTCCAGCACACTGTACACTGGATTAGATGTAATCTTGGATTTTATACATTCAATTCAACTATTCATTCGGATCTTCATGAGGAGATGGATTTAGGTATTTTTGTTTAGGAAGGCTATATTCTGCATGCTGGTTCAGTTGTTCATTTTCATATGTGTTCATTCCCAGCACGTTTAGTCCTCCAGCTGTCCTAGTCAATGCTGCTGTGTGACAGCCCAGAGTTCTCCTTTAGATTTCTCACTTTGCAGCCTCTGATTAGTGGAAAAAACAACAGAATTGTGGACATGAATAAAACATCATAATAGATTCTACGACTGGCCTTGTGCAAACTGGAAAGATAATGATTTTGAATCCCTTTCTTAAAATGTCTGCCTTAAATTACAATTTCATGATACACCAAGTGTGTTGATATCATCCTTCAGTGAAGTCAGCTGTGATCATGAGCATTGGAAAAAACAAAAACAAGTCAACAGAGTATTTAATGAAGCATCAATTATCTACAGATCTCAGCAGCTCAGTATGATTTGAAACACATTATTTGTAATGTCTCCATAGGTTGATACGTCATATGGGACATGTCCTTCACACATACGTATATTGGAAGCTTATTCATTTCTAGATGTTCTGTTTGTGTTGTTAACTCCCTATTTTTGATTTCACGCTCTCGTCCTTCATGTGATTTCACTTATTTCCTCTCAAGAAGCTCTCGGACAGAATGCACTCTGAGCACAGGTGGAATAAATCATGAGGTACTCTGAAGATATTTCATGAGATTCTACACGATAACATTCATATGAGGATGTTTCTCTGCTTCTGTTTATACTGAATGGTAAATAATGTAAACAAGGTGCAGAACATATCAGACATTAGACATCATATGGTTATTATGTTGCTATAAACAATGTCACATGTTTATGACATGTGCGCCACACTTTGAATTATTTCATTTGATAAATAAATTGTTAATGTTTTTAATTATTATAAATATATTTTACAGTATGCCTTAATTAGTCTCTAAAAGTCTGCTGTCAATTTAATCAAATTATCCAATTATTTATTAGAAATATTTTCTTTTGCTCCAAAAAGTAAACAATATGCTTTCAAGGCTATTTGTACATTTAACATTAAAAGTACAGGTTAACCTATAAGGTGAAATTTAACAGGAAAATTAAAGGTGAGCAAAATTATTATTAGTCTGAAAAAATATTAAACATTGGAAATTTGAAGTAAACACACTTCAGTTTGTTAGCATATAAAACAGTGTGGTTTCTTTCCATGTTAGAAAGAGAAGTAAGTTTCTTATAGTGAATTTCTAAATGTAATAAAAACAGTCACTGGTTTCCTGACCTATAGCACGCAGACAAACAGCTGAGCTTCACACTGAGAGTCGGGATTTGTTCTCCAGCCTTATAGTTGATGGTAATGAGGAGACAGAGCCAAATGGCAGAGATCTAAACACTCTGCAGAATCACTATGTTCCAGCCCATTGGAGCGCCACTCTGCAGAGCTCATCTGTGTCTCAAACCTGTCTGATGCTCAATGTGATTGAATTTGATCAAAATTGTATTAAACCTCTTTGAAATCCAATTTTCTATCCACCATACTTGTCTTTCTGCTCTAGCCAGGCTGGATGTAGCTCAAGTCGAAGACGTCTGAAGATTTGTTGGTGCTGTCAAAGTCCTGATGGAGTTTGTTCTGCAGCCAGTGAGTCCTGGCGTGAGCTTATTTGACCTGACCAGAAAGCTGTTATGTAGGAGTTCAGCTTCTTCAAGGTTTAGATCTACGGTTGCACAAGTGAAGTGTTTTAATTCTGGAAGTCTTTGCAGTTGAAAAAAAACCAATGTACTATTGAGCAAGAAGCTTTAATATTGTTAGATTGCAGGTTGACATCAGACCAACTCATCAATAAGTCATCAGAATCAATTCACTGTCTGCTTTGTCTGCTCGTGTTAGTGCCAACTAATATAAAAACAGCTTAAACCTTTCCTGACACATTTTCACTGTTGTTTTCTAACATAACATAACATCAGTCGATGACTCATTTTGTGACAGTAGGTTGTATTTTGCAATCCCCAACACAGGTAATATATATATTAAAACAAATTGTCACAGTCCCTCAACACAACCTCGCCAAAAGAATTTGGCATCAGAAGAAAAAGTCAGGAATGTATTCATGAAAGCAGTGAAGAACTCCGGGCTGCCTTTGGAGTTCAAACAAGTGATCGGTCATGATGGGATGGCATAGGCTGCTTATTAAAAATATAACAAGCTTAGAAGAAAGCCAAAAATACTTCATTTTAGAAACTAAAAACTATTCTAATTTATATTGAGAGCAGCAAATTAACTGTGGGATAATAAAAAATATCTTCTCGTAGAAGAATGTTAGAGGAGGAGTGGCAGTGATGTTGTAATTCACTAAAAGTTGGGGACTAACAAGAAACATAAAATGGAAAAAGAAAGTTGATAATGAAGACAGCAGAGGCTGATATATCTCGACTTTAATCCTTAAGAACAAACAGAAAAAACCCTCAGGCCAACACAAAGCAATAAACGGGCACAAACTGTTTGAGACACTCCCCTTCTGGTAAGAGGCTGCGGTTCATCAGGACCAAAATCTCGCATCCCAAGAACAGTTTCCTCCCCCTCTGCTGCCAGCCTCATTAATAATGTCCCTGCCCTCCCCCCCTCCCCACCATAGACTGTAAATATTCCCCACAGATAGCACAGACTCTCCTCCAGCCCATGTGAATGCTAAAACATATAAAATGCGTTACATTGACGCACAATGGACCTTTAAGTTTGTGATGAGTTTGGCGCCCTCTGTGGACAAAGTATGTAGTCTAATTTTTGAGCATCAGTAACCTGGATTTGGTAATCCTTAAAAGTCAGTATGTGGATAAACTGATCCTGGTAAGCAAAAAAAAAAGTGTATTACCAAATCTGGATCATACTTAACCACCTTTGTGTTACTTGCTTGATTTCTAAAATATGTCTAATACTCCTTTAAGAGCCTAAGAGGACTAAGACCGACTTGTGCATCTGTTGCCTTTTAAAATGTAAATGAGATAAAGTACATTTTCAAACATTGCAACACTTATTTGGCCTCCTTTATTTATGACTTACCCGAACTGACCCTCACTGAGGCACGCACGCATACTGGATATGTGAAAACTGTTTACTAATGTGACATATTACTTCAAGGCTGAAGATAATCACCTAATCCATGTGTCTGTAATTTGTTGCTAATGACTTTATAGAGTTATCCCAGAAGTGTCTCTGTATGAAGCACAAAGGACGTCTGCTTTGTGTTTAAGAGGGAATCAGATAGAAATCATGTCTCTTGACAGTTTGTATCTCGTCCTCATTCAAATGCACATCAACACAGAATAAACAGACAGTTAATAATTCTCAGTGAAAATGTTCCCCCGCAACCTCTTCTGCTCTCAGCACGAAGATGTGATGAGGTGAGGAATTAACTGAAAACACATTTTCACCCATTCTTTTGGTGATATAACAGAGTCTGGCAGGAGAGTGAGATACTCCGTCCAAACGCAAAAAATAACAAAAGACATGGCGCAGAAAGGCATCCATTTCTTGCGTTTTGGGCAAGCAGAAGTCAGATCCATGTTTACGCACGTGTGTGTGTGTGTTTTTTATTCCTATATGGCAGCACATCTGGAGAATTCATCGCTGCAATCAGGCCTGAGAAATGTTTGGTTAAGACTTTCCTGACTCTCAAACTGAGGGCCAACAGTTAAACTTTGAGAATAACCCTGTGGAGCCTCAGACACCATATTTGGCTCAGGAATAAACAGGCCTGAATACCTCATCAACACTCCTCATTATTCAAGCGCCAAATGAGTTCACTGCAGACTGGACCTATTCATTATCTTCTTTTGATGGGCGATTGAACTGTTACACACTTAACATGTAATCCTGGAAAGGCTTCGGCCACTCTGGCTGACATTTGAAAAGAGGTCTTTATTAATTACAGATCATGAAGTTGTTGCTGATAGTCTTGATTCTGTGCAACAAAAGAGCTCGCTGTGCTCCGTCTATAATAGTTTATAGTCATTGCAAGCACGTGTTTAAAAGTCCGACCTTTAAACCGAGCCGCTCAGGATGAGGGCATGAAGTCCAAAGCGTTCATGCATCCTGGTATTGTCTGTGTTTTTTTGGCCGGGCTCCAAACATCAGCTAAAATGATCAGGGCCAACTTAATTACTGAGAGGGTGAGGGTGTAAAAAACAGAGCCCTTGATAGATTTCGGAAGTATTTTGATGAAGCATGAACTCCGGGGTTCTGCTGAGCACCTTAATCAGCTATGAAAGCAAACACATCCATCAGACTGAATTAACTTAACACAGTTTGGCTCGCTTTGAAACAAAAGGCTGCCTGATTGTGTTGCAATGCTTCAGTTCCTCACAAACACTGTATGCATCATGGAGGAATTCTTTGCTGCAGCGGATGAGGAAACATTTGATCCTAAAACTTTTACAAATAGGTTCAATCAAGGAAGATTGTTGCAGAGTTAAAAAAAAAAACAATTCTGTAACAAATCTAGCGGCAATCACGAGTGTAGAAATATAAAGCATTTGCAGAAATGCCAAAAACTGCAGTTCCTCCGGGGTCCACTTGAGGCTAACACCAAAACCAAGGAACCCCCATGTTTAAGCAAAGTTGGGTATTTGTGAAGTGGGGTTGTATGAGGTACTAATAGTGAGTATTAGCCACAGGAGATGTCGGTTGGCCCCTTTAACTTGAGACAGACAGGAGTGCTTTTACGGATGCTAGGCTATATGGCTATATAGACGTGGTCGTTTGCGCCGCGTAATTAGCCAATTTGAAGAGGCACCTAGCTAACAACAATGTTAGAGCTGAGAGTTATACATATTTAGGCATACTAAGGGTTGTGGCTGATTTGACTGACTGGCCGTCATGTAATAGCTGTTATCACGAGGCTAGGCTTTACTTTAGCTAAACCCCGTTACTGACCAAAAACTGTCGGCTCTGTTCCTGTTGTTTTTATACTTTAGAATATGCCAGCTTGATAGTAGGCCAGCATGCTAAATGGGCCTGTTTCAGCTACCAAGATATTTATTTGCCCCTGACTCAACTCCACCTCTTTGCCTGCTTCTTGATTAGCCTGAAGTTAGCTGGAGTTAGCATTTGAAAAACGGTGACTGCCATTGTTGGGCTTCAGGGCGTTATGTTGTTTTATACAGTCCCAAGTTTAAAATCCAGAAATAAATTTAACATATAGGAGAAATGTTTGCAATGGTAATGAGTTGATTTGGTATGACTGGCTTAAAAGAAGTGACACATGTTTGTACATAATCAAATAATATCACAATAATGGCTCAGAAGCACCTCCACTCTTGGGCTAAGCCAGACCCTGAGTCTCAACATTTTCTTTACTTGGTTCTTAATCTGGGTAACATGGAGTACACATACACAGAGAGCTGACCAACTGTATGATTTATACCCACTGACTGCCCCCAGCTGTTACAACTGCCAGAGCCAAGACTAAGCATGCATAGCAGAATTGGCCCGTGAAACGAATTCAAGACAAATTCAAACACATTGAGAAATGACAAAGACACAGAAATGGAAACATTCAAAGTAAGCTACAGCATGCTGGCTGAAATCTTTGTTTAAACCTGCATATGAAATGCTCATAAATACTGAGTCTGCATGGGAAAATGGCAACGTGAAAATGTTGATTACTAATTTATGTTGGCAGCAATAAAGTAGAACAGCCCTTTTTTTTTACCCTGTTGACTGTAACCACCTCTTTGGACAACCAAGGGAGCGACTGCTCGAAACTGCCAGATCCAACAGTTTACACAAAGTTATGACAGCCTTTTTGTGAGAGTAATGAAGGCAGAGAAGGAGAGTGCGTCTGTTTCAAAATATTGTTTCATGCCCTCAGTGAGATTCAGACAGGGCTGTCTGGCCCAAAGTGTGAAAGAAACACAATGAGTCATTGTGGAAGGGGAGGGGACACAGCGAGCACACCAGGGAGTTCACAGAGGAGGGAAGCAATATCCTTCTGAAGCGCCCACTCAGTATACCAAATCTGCGCTTGCACACTGACTGAGTCATGAGAACCACAGTGATAATTTGACACCTGTTGATCAAACAGGCCTGAGGACAGACTGCACACAGCACCACTGAGCAAAAGGACTGCTCTCACAGACCCTGCTGACATAGGTTTGAGGAGGCGATTTTTTTTAATAACACAATCTCCAGACATGCAATTCCAGATTTTTGATTTGTTTTTGGTGACACTAGAGGGGCTAAAAAAAAACATCATGAGGAAGGGAGGAATTGTGGGTCAAGTTGTTAGCCCTTTTATGACTCAGGATTTGGTCCCACCATTACTTCCTATGACATTCAAACCGAAAGGTAGATGTTACCGGGGCATACATATCCCATCTTGGACTGGTAATATGAAAAGGAAAACTAAAAACATTTTGCTTAAAGGTGCTAAAAAGCTCCAAATAGCTGAGATAGGTAGAGGATCAGGTGAATATTCTGAGTGCTTGTAATTGTTCCGAAGACTTCACCTACTGACCCTAACTAGTTATCAATTCATCAAATGTATCTACATTTGGTATTAATTTAGACATGCTGAACCAGACAACACTTTACAAAGTGTGCTGATGCCAGGAAAGTTCGGATGGATATTGCTTCATGAAACTGGACAGAAGGAGAGCACAGTTTTTGCCATTGCACATGAGACTGAAGCCATCAGTAGTTTTTACTAAAAACTACTTTTCTACATTTTTAGTGTTTTAAGTTTTTGGATAAAGTATAAAGCAGTTTCTGGCCTATTTTCTTGATGAGTGATGCGTGATTCCAAAGGGCTTGAGACAGGAACAGTGAACAGAACCTTTTTTTTTCATTGAGGAATGATATGATATGGTTTGTGTGTGTGAACAAAGAGAGTATAGACTGAAGGGAGTCCAAACTTCTGCTTTTCATTCTCATGCCTCTGATAACATTTCATCTCCAGCGGGGAAAAAAAAGTTGATCCGGACTTCCAGTTTAATGTAATGGAAGCCATCGGGCGTCAAAAGTGTAAGACGGCCCTTCTGAGGCCGACTAGCAGACTTTAAATGAATAATCAAACCACCGTCATGTAGAAGTTTGAGATCTGGGCCACATCATAAGACGCCTGTCTCAACATCTATTCACACGTCACTATATTTCTTTCTTTGTGTGGGACTCTGCATTTGAACATGAAAGTTACAGCCAACAACAAACAGGATAAACATTTACTGGAGTCAAACACTGAGAGACTTTTATGTGTAAAAACTGTGAGCAGAGATACAAAGTGCTACGAGTTACATCAACTATAACCACTTCAAAATAAAATCTTTTCTCGTATGTTTGATGTCATTAGGCTACAATAAGAAAATAAGTTCTGTGATTGCATTAAAAATAGCAGCTTTGCATCTGTATTGTGTTTTTTTACTTTCACAAACACACACTTTTGACACAGTTGTGTTTTAACTGGCAAAGCTAACCATAAGGCAATGTCTGTTGCTATGTCATGCAAAAACATTCACAGTCACATGTATTTACAGAGAAAACACGAAAAAACCAAAACACTTCAAACAAGGTCTGTTGTCTTATCAATAAATAAGTTGATTATCATTGAAAATCCTTGAAATTTGCTTTTCTTCTAAACTAAATGTGGCCCCTTTTCCAACATGTTCCAAAAATACAATTTATTTTCATCTGCTCCTAAGCAAGGAATTTTTAAAAAAATCCCCAAAGTGCAACTTGTATGATAAAAGAATGTACAGTATACTAACCATGTGGTTCTTGGGAATATTGAAATTCAGAGAGACAATTGAAGAAGAACCACTATGGTGGACACTGGTCTTCTATCTGCCTGGGATTTAGGAAAGTCACCATCTCACGAACGCCATCTTCACAAATCGTGGTTTGAGAGGCTTGACTCAGATTTCCACCCTCCTCTTTAAATTTTTTCCATGTCTCTGGAAAATAAATGAAATGCATTGTCACTATCACTGTGACTAAAACCAAAAAGGTGATAAAATATAAAATAACTTATTAAAATAAGTCAGGAGGACTCACAGGGAGGAATCATGAAACTAACCTTCATCAAGTGTTGTCAGTAATGTGTAATTCTCTGGATGATCCACGATATCTTTTCGCTGAACATCACCGATATCCATTAATTGTAAAACACCTGTGTTAAGAAAAAGATTTCAGAAGACAGTCATACATTTTTCAATATATTACAAATATTTGTCATTTAGAAAAACATACACCCTTTAGATGTCTCGTCATTCAAACATGTTTTCTTTAGCCCCTTTCACATATGCAATGCTCTCCTGTAATTTTCAAATTTCTGAAAGAAAACTGGTTGAGCTGACGTGTGAACGCAGCAGGTTGAATTCACTGTTAGGGCTTTCACACTTGCAGAAAACTGCTGAAAAACTCCTGATATTTCCAGGAGGAGCTGCATGTGTGAACATTTTTCACCCAGATTTTCTAACTAAAACACATCGTACTTTTTTCCCTATTCTTACACAGGATAAATTGTCAGCACTGTAATCCAATTCCAGACTTAGCTTGAGGCACTTTTGATCATTTTAGCATCTATTTTTTCAGGGAGAATTAGCTGATCTTATCCTTTTTTCTGTCAATGTTAAGAGATTTTAAAAAAATATACAAAATAGCACAAAAACAGAAGTATAGCTAAGACGTAATCTAGAACAAAAAACCTATACAACCAGAGCTTTCACACTGTATGAGAGCTGTTTGACCTTGTTTTCATTCTGCATCCCAAGCTAAGCTAGCAGCTGACTGTTACTCCAATTCAAACAGACAGAAGAGTTTCAGGCTTATTTTAATTTCACAAAATGTTCAACTTTTACTTAAATAAAGTTCACACCACTGGCTACAGTACCTTCTACGGTGTTCCAGACTTGCACTTCAACCTCAGCAGTACTTTGTCGTTCGACAACAATGATCCTCACAGCGTTGGGTGAGTCAACTCTCAGAGACGATTCTACTTTATACACCAGGAGATTATTTTTATATCCAAGGTAACACTGGGTCTGGTTATTTTCAGTCTTACTTTCTGAAGAAGAAAAACACAGATACATTTAGTGGATGATGTTTACAGCCAATCAACTTCATGTCATAATAAACAGTTCAGTATGTTATGAGCCATGTTTGACTACCTGGACACGTCTTGCAGCACTTCCCCGCTGGTTTCATAGGATGTTGGCATGGATACTGGCTGGGACACGTGATGCGTTTGCAGTCCTGGAGGCCATCAGTACAAGTGCACAGGATGCATTCCAGGACCTTCCCCAAAACTGGGTGCCATATGTCTCCATGAGAGTACGTCTTTCCGTTGTATAAACAAGCTGTGAGAAATGGAAAACATCTGAGCGATGTGCTACACATGGAACCGATCGTAAAGTTGTGAGGAACATGTCTATAAAAATGAAATACCTGTACGGGATCTTTCTGTTTTGACAAAGTCTCACCTTTTTGGTGTTTCCTCTGCAACAATATCTTCACTGTGGTCTCTGAAGCTCCTTTGAGGTTCAGTTTACTGAGGCTCAGGCCTCTGGGAGAAGCCCTGATCCATGGTGGCGTGGCACGGTCGGACCGCGCCCTGCTCTGCTCCCCAGAACACTGGTCCACTGAATGTCTCTTTTGTAAAAAAATAGACACAATAACAAAAATTATCTTTTGAATATTGGCATTACTTTCTTTATAAAAAAACATCCAATTTATTCCTGAATCATGAGAGGTTTAAGTCTCTCTGGATCTCTGAACTGCTTTTACCATTTTTCCACAATTAAAAAAGTAAAAAAAAATACAACTTGGTCTTCTTGTCGGGCACAGAAGTCCATGAATATTTAATGATGCATGTTTCAGATATGAAAATGTGATGTCAAAGAGCAACGTGCCCCTGCCCTCCTCAAGGAGATTAATTGATTTGCTTGTCCTCTTGCACGCAAAGGTCAGCACCAGCTACAAAGAAGATCTCCTGAAGCCCCTAATGACCTCAGTGTCACGTTCAAGGACTCTTCGACAGAGAAGAAACATGCAAGTGAAGAAATGTTCATATTCTATTATCAGCAAGAACGTACAACTCCTCTGTTCAGCTGCTGGTTTCCATCCTCAGTTGATGAGGATCCGCTGGTGCCATGATCTGCAGAGAAACAAGTGTGAGGGCAGAGCAGTTATCAGGAAATATATAAAAGACTGAGTGATTGAAAAAAGTGGACCCGTGTCATGATGAGATTATAATAGTGTAATTTTTGCAAGGGTTTAGTGTGACTAAGTTCTGTATGGTATCAGTTTTCTGAGTGTATTTTTGAATCTATTTCACTTATAATACATATAATACAATAAGGTCAATGTGCCTTGTTATTACTATGCTCCTGTGTAAGATGTCTCCTAGTTTACTGAAATAGAAAAAAGAAAGGAATAAAGCAATTCCGGGTTGGAAAGGGGTCATGCCAATTTAGCTGAGCTATACCTTTACACACCAAACAGCAGGTATCAGGAACTGTCACAGGGGAAGAGCAGCTGATTGGTTGGCATGTTTTCAGAGCACAGAAGATGTTTCCATTCTGAGAAGGAAAGGCAAGTTTATTTATATGGCACACTTCAGCAACACTTCACACAAGACATCAAAAGCATCACGACAGAAACAGAAAAATGAAAATAGAACATTTAAAAAACTACTAAAACAGGAAGTTAATAGTCACAGAGAAGATTCAATATAACCATTTATTCAAATTAAATTAATTGAAAAGAAAAAAAAATGAAGAGTGATATTTTCTTTTAAAATAAACTTTCTAAGTCTTTGTTTGAGTTCACTAAAGTTTAGTTTAATAAAATAATAGAGACTGATTAAAACACTGCACTCTTCTCAGCAGTGTACTGGTATTCATTCTCTTATGAACTACATGTAATGTGAATTCACCTTGGCAACAGAAACACCTGTTAATGAACACTACTTAACAACTCGTAAAAAAGGAATTTCTCACATCTTGTTGTCTTTTAAAGGACAACTTCAGGGTGATCTCAGTATTGGCTTCACTTACGCTCCTCTCTCAAATCTGCCTTTGTTCCCTAAATTTCAGTCTTTCGAGCAGATCGTGATGATGCCCGGCCAGCACTCAAACCAATGCAAGATGTTTTCACCAGCTACAGCAATATTAGGCAATGGTGATGGGAATTGAAGAAGTGATGCTATGTTCACTGCATAGCATCAGCAGCTATAAGTTACTCAGAAGAGATGTTTTTTTTAAAAGTGAGACGTAAAAAATAAAAATAATTTTGTAAAAGTGGCATTTACAGTATGAGATACTGTAATATAACAGCTGTTGTTTTTTAGTTATCTAAGTGTTCATAAAAGCTTATGTTCTTCATCAAATATTTCCCTTTTTAAGCTGTTTGTACGCCTTCAAATTGATGTTAAGAGAAAAGCATAAATTCACAGATGAAGAAGGATTGTTAGGAATGTATTGATATTTATCGTAGAAATACTTTAATGCAAACATAGTCCCCAGTGGCAATGATTAATATTTTGTCATAGAAACATCTGAAAATTACCAAATTTCTGTTAGTCACAAAAGCAAAAAATCCTATATGGGGTTTCACTAAATGGTCACACTGTCCTGTCTTTAAATCATCAGCAAGATGGATATTTGCACTAAACATCATGCTGCACATTCCTGCACATTTGTACGGTTTTCCATGTATCTTATTGCATATAACGTGTATTATATATAAGTCCCCTGAGAATAGGAGCACTGCAGTTTGTTTTTTGCACTAAAACACAAACTGTGTAAACTTACTTTGAAGCTAACCTAAGTCTGATGCAGGATAAAATCACCTCTAACATCTTCCACGCTGTACATCATATTCTTTCTATGGATTAACACAACTGATGTAGTCAGTGAGATGCAACTTACAGAGCACGTGCACATGACACACTGATTGCTTTGCCTGGATGGAAAGAGGTCCAGCTTAGTGAAGGTCTCCCCCGGCTGATAAATGGTCCCGTTGTGCCTGCAGGATTTCACTGAGGCTCTGAGTCCTGCAGGGATCCTGGGCTCATCTGAGGAGGGACATCACACAGGACAGAAGTCACAACCGGAATAAATTTCTCTCAAAAAGTCCTGATTATAGGAGGAACTGTCTACCTGTGCACCTGGGACAACACTGCTGAGGATCAAGCACTGGATTTTCACACGGCAGAGCAGGACACCTGATGGTGTTACATTTCACATGGCCTGTCTAAGAGAAAGCAGAGTTTACAAGCATTGGCCACCTTCAACTCCCTACCTCTATTTCTGCAATGAGAGCTCAAATGTAAAAGGACTGAGTGTTGCATTCCTTCAGATGCAGTTTAGAAGTGATGTTTGATAAAAGTCACCTCTGTGCAGACGCAGCGCATGCAGAACATGAATCCAAAGGGCTCCAGATAGGGATGCCAGCTGTCTCCTGGGCTGTACGTCTTGTCTTTAAAAGTACAAACCGACCCGGAACCTGAGTGTCAGAGTAAAAAAAGATGTGCGACTAATGGACGCATGTGGCGCAGATAAAACAGACATGTAAACTATGTGAACAAAGGCTTTAAACGTGAGACTAAGTCACGGCGAAAGTGCAGAAATGTAGAGGAAAACATACGAAACTGCAATGCCACTGACAATACAGTCCATGTAAGCACTGAAACAAACAGATATCTTAATATTATACTGTATAGAGGCATCTGTGGCTGAATGTGATTAAAGTTCTCATTGCGCAACAAAGTTTGGTTTCATCCAAAAAGAGTGCGTAAATCTTTAAATATCCGCCAGCTAACACCGACTTCACTTTTCCTCTTTGAAGCACTCTTCATGTTTTTATGTTTAATAAGCATCAGCAGGGTGTGTGCTCTTACCTTTCCGGGGTTTCAGCTCTGCATCTGCACACCAAATGATGAGAAAGAACAACAACCTGGACTTCATGATTTACATGTGCGTGACTGAGTCTGCTGCGCGCAATAAAGTTGTGATTCTGCGAGACAGAAACTGCAGGACAGTGTGAAACAATAATACCAAAAAAAAGGAAAATCTGACATTTTTTCTTTGGGGACCTTTGACGCCTCCCGATGGACATAAAGGGTAGCGCAGGCTCACACACAGATACCGATGATAGAAGGAAAATAACCCTGATAGATTAGATATGGACTGACCAGACAACAACGGAGGAGGGAGTGCTAACTTTTACTTGACGAGCATTTAAAATATAAAAATACTCAGTAATAAAACCCACAAACTAAATCATTTTTAAAGATTGGACTACAGCCTCTGTACATGGGACGTGCAAAATATCCACTAGGCTATACCGGCACACCAACAAACTAATTTCTACAAAAGTATAGAAGATACATGAATATATAAAGATACAGTTTAATGTATTTGTTAATTGAGTTGAACATATTTCAAAGACTGGTTTAACTACTTAAATTCATGAAAATGCTTCAAGAAAATCACAGGTTGTACTATTTGACTAACAGTACTTAATATTGCACCGCTGCCAAAGAATCCCATGAATACCAATCATCATATTTGGGACTTCTTATGAGTTAGGATGACTTGTCAGACTCGTATATACAGGACTGGCTGTTTGCTATTTAAATAGCATATGTGAATATGTGAATTATTACTAAACTACAGAATACTGATTTATGTTTGCAATCCAATGATCATCGGCAGTAGTTCAGTCTGGGGACTTAGGTTTGGAACCTGAGGGTCGCCGGTTCAAGTCCCGGTTTGGACATAGTCTGGTAGCTGGAGCAGTGGTGGTTCTAGACCACTTTAACTGAGGGGGCCAAACTGGGGCCAATTGTTTTGTCAGAGGGGAACATTAAACCCAGGTGAAACACAGACAAAGATGATCGCTTTAAAAAATATATATGTTATGCCAAATAATAGCACACATCATTAAATACCATGATTTATATTTGTTTCAGTAACAGAATTTAATAGTAGATTGTGAGTCCGGTTGTTGAGTCAAATACTGTATGTGTTATGGGGGGGGGCTCACTTCCTGAGCACTGCCGAAGCACCCTTGAGCATGGCACCGACCATCCCACTAACATCTCAGGAGTGCTTCGCTCCCGAACTGTACGAGAGCTCCGCCTCCTCTCTCTTCCTCTCAGTCAGACAGTCAGTGAGTGATTTGTGTACTGAACGTACTGAACAGAATGGTCGGGGAAAATAAATGTGATTGTTTTAGCAGCTTTCAGTTTGCAAACTGTAACTTTATCCAACTAACTTCTCAGCTCATTGGTTTATTATTCACCACCTGCTGTTCTCAGTACGATCGCGAGCAGAACTAAACGTTCGGCCGTGTTTCAGATTATTAAATTCTGATTCACAGACAGAGCTGCAGAGAAGTACTGAACGATTCTGTGAACGAATCTTTTGAACGAATCACTTTACTGAACTGATTCTACTGATTCAGTACACTGAAAAGAACTGCTTTTCACATCACCATGTATTTCAGCCTGTGTGTGATCTCAGTAATAATAACAGTGTAAAATTGAATTTCCCCTCGCAGGATCAACAAAGCTTCTTCTTACTTAGTATTTTGTTTTGTTGTATTGAATTTAATTATCTTGTAAGGTGTTCTAGTCATGAAAAGTTTCTTGTGCACTGTGGTACAAACTAAACTCAGTCTGAGACCAGTTGTAGACACGTCTTACATCAGTTAAAAAGAAATTGGGCTATTGGACAACATACAGACCGATCTCCTTTATTAACACACATTGGGGATAAAACAGTGCAACCATGTTAAAACAGACATTAAGATGCCTACAAACTTACCGAAGGTATGACAAACAAATGGGAGCTCAGAAATACCCCAACGAGTCTGGTTCTGCTCCCTACCATGATGCCAATGGTAAACCAACACAGGGCTTAAGAACAATACATTTAAGTTCAGCAGAACACTTGTATTCACAGTCAAACACACATTCATAAAATACACACAACGGGGGTTTTCCTCTTGCAATGGAGGACATGGCAATGCTCCCAAATGAACAGAGTCTCTGAAACAGGTTGAGACAAAAAAAAAACAACAGCTGGTTCATATACAGCATCCCTGATCCCTTTTAATCTGCAGTGGCTACATGGGACTTCTCAGCCATGCTTCTGCCTAAAATCTTACTTCCAAAGTGAATCCAAAGCTCACTCGCTCATTATTTAATGTTTAAAATGTGATCTAGAAATTTAAATCCGCAGCAAGCCTGCCAAAAAGTACGCCTTTAAAAATGATGTTTTAGAGTCACCGAACATCTGCGAGACACTTTTAAAAAATCAAAACAAGTTACTTCTACTGTCTAGTGTCCAGTCATGTGTCTAAGAGTAGCTTTAATACCAGACTTAACACCTGTCGTATAAGTTATTCTATCACATGGATGAAGTATAGGATATTGCATCATTAGGATGACTTTGAGTGTTCACACTGAAACACTTACCCGCCCACACACATACATACATTCACCCACACACACCCACACACACACAGAAATAGACCGAGAGCGAAAAAGGAGGAGACTCAGGAGCTGCTGCTTTGTGCTCCTGTGTCGTCCTCCTGCTTCAGCCGTTTTTTGGCTCTGATTTCATTCATGGCTTCTTCTATAGAGCGAGTGTCCCTCTTGTTTGCAACCGGCACTGGGAGACAGAAACACAAACATTATCAGTCAAATATTGGGAGGAAAAGTAAGCTAATGTTTTCAACGGGCTGAGACAATAAAACAACATTTACTCACCACAGCCGTAGGCGCTGTTGGCCTCAAGTGTGTGCGCGGCGTCTTTTGCAGCCGAGGTGCCGATCAGGTGACTGTACTTGTCTCTGTAGTTTGAGTTGGGACACGCCTCAGACTTCTTTGTCTGACTGGCCGCTGTCTCTTCCAATGCGGCTTGTTCCTTCAGGGGAGAGAGTGATGGAAATCTTAGTTTGAAAACAAATCCAGGATGATTGACTCTTTTCTGTGGGGAAAATATTTTTCATTGACTAACCTAATTGAGGAAAATTGATCACCTGAACAAACTCAACATGATTCTTTTAGGGAGCGTCAAGGTTTAGTAAACGTGACTGTTTTTATCCATAAGTACTGAAGCCCTAAGCAGACACGCATCCTTACGTCTTCTTTATTCTTATATTCATTTTCTACTTCTCATGATCTGAACGGATTTTTCTCGTCATCTTGAGATACCAGTGCTGGTTTCTCGCGAGAAGTTCATTACAGCTGTTTTCTCTGGATCTGGATCTTTTTGGGGAGCTTTTTATGCTTTCAATTCAAGACATTAAGCGGATAGAGTCAGAAATCAGGGAGAGACCGATAGTAGGGAACGAGACGCGGGAAAGGAGCCAGAAGTCAGACCCTAACCCGGGCCGCATGCCCCGGAGGACCACAGCCTCTACACAAGGGGTGCATGCACCAAGCACTAAGCCTTCAGATCTGGACTTCTTTTTTTTTTTTCATTATTTGAAGCTCACAAAGCTTGTTTTCTCGTGATATCGGGATAATTTTCTGGTGATAAGAAAACAAAACAAAAATCGGTCCCGGTGCGGACCAAGTATGGAAGTTGGTCTGGTAGCTGGAGAGGTGCCAGATCACCTCCTGAGCACTGCCGAGGTGCCCTTGAGCAAGGCACCAAACCCCCTCCCCACCACCAGCTCAGGAGCGCCCACTGTGGGCCGCTCCGTCACTCTGACATCTCTCCATCAGTGCATGTCCATAGGATCCTGTTTGTGTGCATGTGTGTGTTGCATGACTACAGAGTGTAAAAACTGAAATTTCCTCATGCGGGGATCAATAATAAGTAAATCTTTCTAAGTTTGTTTTTTGTCTCTTGGGACACAAGATAAAACAGGTGAGATCTCAAGAGATGAAGACTGAGACAATCCGTCTATTACAGCTGTCTAAGAAGAAGTGCGTATCAGCCTCTGTCAATACGTTTTACTTTGTGCTGCCGCAGCCTTTACTTTAACTTTAACTATAGCTGTGTTAAAGGGGATCCAGAGATGTTACTTCATTGATGGAGGAAGAGTAAGCTCTTATTCAGACATAACACTGACATGTTGAAGTGTTCATCAGATGAATGTCATGGTCAGGAGGTTTTTGAAGGAGCTTCAATCAAATCAAAAGAGCGTCCAGTCTTACCCTTAGTTTGCGCCTTTCCTCTGCCAGCTTGGGATCCCACTCCTCTCCTTTGCGATAAGCTTCCAGCTCTTCGTCTGAAGGAGCAAACTCCTGCCAGTTAACAAAGAAGACAAAAGTCAGATTTCATTTCATCATTTGACAATCAAACACTCAAATAAAGATGGATAAAATCAAAGTCAGACCTTCTTGAAAAGCATGACATAACGGCTCTCCTCGTCCTCCCCGAAAGAAAAAGAGGTCAAACCAGCGACCTCTGCGACATCATGTCTACAACACAGAGGGAAATGAAATGGAAACAGTTGTGAGCGAGGGGGAAAGAATGTGTCGTGCCTCTTTTGGGCTTATTACAAATATCTGCAGTGACGACTTCTTACAATATACTCCTCTCAATCTTCCCCATGGGATTGTATTTTCGTTTCTGCTGTGAGCTGTCCTGTATGAAATCTGACACCTCCTTCTCCATCTAACAAAGAGAAACAGGACGTTTCCTGTTATTATTTCAAGGTACAAAGAAATGCAAACTGTGGTGCAGACAGATCACAAAAGCTACACTCAGTGGCCACTTTGTAAGTAACACCAGCATAGTCATACATCTATAACTGCTTTGTCATTAATATTACTTTTAATGTGGTTTTTTGGGGGGGGATGTTTCTGATTGCCTGACACAATCATAGAGATTTTAAATTGAGGTAATAAAAAATATTTGATTGAATTTTCACATTTCCAAAAATGACAGCAATAAGTAAAAATGATAAACTTTGTAAAGCTTAAATATATTGCAGAACAGTTGTTTTTGGTTTGCAGTGAGATTTGCAGGTGTACCTTACAAAGTGGACAGTGTGTGCATAATCAATGTGTTAATAGATGTGACATTAATCGTTCACCTTCTTCCTGAATTCAGCTTTCTTTCTCTTCTCGTGCTCCTCCATCTTCTTAAGTCTTGCAGCTTGCTCTGAAAAGAACACAAGTCACATTTTTGTTGTGTTATGATATTTGCTTGTATAATTTTTTTTAGAGTTTCTGTTGTGAACGGAGATCCTGAAGCAACAACCGTTCTACTTGTACGACTTTAGTCACGTTAGTTAATTTATTCTGAAAAACCACATTTCATCATCATTATCATTGAATCTTTTATGTGTTTACATGCAAACAGAAAAGAGGTATGGAGTTTTACATTTTTGCCAATAGTCAGATCAGCTTTGTAACATTTTTACAACTTTTTTTTTTTTACAACTAAACATCTCAACTATCTTGAGAATCATGTTAAGGATACATCTACAACCTGAAAAAAACATTATAACACAGTCCAAACTGGTTTACTGCTGCAGGATTTCAGGTGTTACTGAAATAGTTTTTTATCACATGTAAGTGTAATGGAAAAGTTGTTGCAAGTTCATGTCTATGAAAGTCACAAAGACGCTTACAATTACATATAAACACAAAACAAGTTTTTGTTATTTACACATTTTCTTGATGTCATTCAATTTTATCTTCACAGAAACTACCAAAAAAACGTTCTTGAGGAAAAAAAGAAGAGTACTGCAAATGCTCAGCAGGAGTTTTAACAGTGATAGTTGTTTACAGAGCGCTTGAAGTCTTGATTGTATTAAAGTATTAAGTCTTTTAATCCACTCTTTCAGCTGCAACACAAAACATATGAGCGCCATTTTCATGAGCAATCTCCCAACAAAGCTACTTAACAGAGACTCCTGTGATTGAGCAACATCGTTCCTCCACATCTCTGGAGTCTGACCTCTTGTGTTTCTCGGGACATGCGGGTCAAATGTTCCGTAGAGGCGGTGCAAACCACGGGACAACTGCGTTATACCTGAAGGCTCATCTGGCCAATGGCAGCCCCCAGACACGCTCTCTCCGTCTGTCTTCTAAATCATCGCTGACTCTCTAATCATATCAAATTCAACCAGTTCTAAGCGGGCCCCAAATGTTTCTTTAATTAAACAATACATTAAGTACCTCGAGCCTTTCGTCGGCTTTCCTTGTCGCCGACAGTTGGAGGCTTTTCCATCGAGTTTAAGATTGAACCTAGGAGGTCTGCCATCTTGGAATGAAAGGGCAGCTCGCTCAGTCTGTTGTTGTTGGTTGCAGTAGCAGCAGCTGTAAAGGCTGCGCATGCGCAGATGGGCAGAGTTTTTCCTCGCTGTGTTAAAACTCGGCATTTTAAACCTCTGTCGCCATCTCCTGTGGGAGGAAGTTGTATGACTACGGGGGAATGTTTACAGACGGCCTGTGTTTGCTCGTATTCTATTAAAATTGTGTCACACAAAAAAAATCATAAAGGCCTAGAAAATACAGTGTGGTTTATTTTTGTTCACCTGTACACACCAACCTTACCTGTATAATATTTATCAATCAATATGTATTATGGAAATCTGCACTTTCCACATGTTGCGCAATTGTTTACATTTACAATTACCAAAAAAGTATTTTTTGATTTTGCATTGACATTTTCTTGAAACTGTGTATTTATCCAAACACAAGAAAACCATTTAATGCCATAATTTATCATCATAAGGACTGTGCATGATTTGGATTGTCTGATTGAATAAGTATCTGCTTCTATCTTCTTCTTTTTTGAAAACTTGCATTTAAATTAAGAAAGTTCTAAAGCCCTCTTTTGCCTTATGGTGATACTGACTCTTCAGAGCTGCTGTTTCTCGTATTAAGTTGTCTTCTTTGACCAATGGTGGTAAACATTTTGAGTAAAAAACAAGTTTAAAAAATAAATTTTTTTTCTTTTCTTTTTTTTTAAACATTGATTAATTTCCAATGGGATTAACCTGAGTTGGAGAATAAACAGGGAAGCACAATGTATCCTACATCTTTGCATAGGCACTAGGGGGCATGCTGTACAAGTCAATGTCTCTGTGTCCCTGCCTTCTATTGTTATTTTGTTAACAATCCTCCCCTGTGTCACTGGAGCAGTGTGTTTGTGCACTTTTATTGTAGTTCCACAGCATCAGCAATAATACATGAACTAGTGCTATATTCAGATGTGGGCAGCTCAGTGGTGGAACACAGGGCAGCTCTGAAAACACAATAAGACAGCTAGAATTGGACTCTTAACTGTGTCTAAAACAAAAACATTAGCCAGCACTTCATGTGTTTTTATATCTTTTGGAAGGCTTGTTGTTGTGAAGGAGAGCTTTTGTGTACTCCTGTGTCCAGCCATAGGGGTGTATAGGTAAGAACTAAGGTCCATATATGTATTCAGAATATGGGCTTGGTGTATGGTGCATAACATTTGCTGTATACCAGGAGCAAGTTGGAAAATAAAGTATTTATTCATGACCATTTTAGTGTGTGTTTGGTTATTTTTAAAATGCCCCCAAAGAACTGGAAATTCTCAAGCTCTAGCTGTTGACGAGGCTGAAAGTTGCTATTCCTGACCTTTATTACTCAGACAGCCATCATTCAGCCATACTTTGTTATTGTGATTTGCACAGAGCACGACGGACTCCTCCCCCGTGGTGGAAATGCTGTATAAATGCAGCATCAGCCTGTCCACAACAGTGTCTGAAAGCTTATTGGTACCCAAACATGAAGGGACTGAGCTTGGTTCTCCTTGTGCTTCTCCTGATGCTCGCAGTTGGGGAGGGTAAGCAAAGAATGGATACACACATTTTCTTACAGTGTAAGATCAAATCAAGCAAACCATGACATTGTTAATACTCAAACTACACTGTGCTCATACTGGGACTGTTGTCATGTAAGGTCAATGTTTGTCAGGAACATGGGAACATAAGCATTTTTTTCTTCTTCTAATTGTATACAGGAAATGATCCAGAGATGCAGTACTGGACTTGTGGGTATAGAGGACTCTGCAGACGGTTCTGCTATGCTCAGGAGTACATCGTTGGTCATCATGGTTGCCCTAGAAGATACAGGTAGGCCTGCGAACATCTTGAAAGATTAAAATGCAGAAATATGTTGACTACAAAAACAAAGGGATAAGGGAACCTATTCTGTTGAAGGTCATGAAAAGAGCTCATAACAAGGCTTCTTTATGTTGCACTGTGCTCATTTCCAGGTGCTGTGCTACGCGGTCTTAGCAACTGTTGTTGTCTGAAGATGTCACAGCATGCAGGCTGACACCTTCAGAACAGGATCCATGGTCTCAGACACAGCATTCTTCTGGATAAGTCAGGTTTCATTTCAGTCTACCCATCTTTGAGTTGCCTTGGGATCTGACTGAATGCTTTTAAAGTGAACTTCTTACATGAGCAGTTATTATGTGTGAAACTGCAACCCTGTTTTCCCTATTGGAGTTATTGCTGCCTGAATGAAAACTTGTGAGATCAAGCCTGTATTTGATAATCACATTCAATAATCAAACCTGTGTGAACAGTTTTCTCCATTCTGAAATGTAGTGTTTTCAATAAATGCATTAAAGAAATACTCATGTTTGGTTTGTTGTTATTTGGCACTGTCTACTTTAAGTACACTAAACCAAATATAAAGCAATGTAGTTCTTCACTTCACATCAAACATCCAAAGTGAGTGTTTACACCTGTTGCAAAGCCTGACCTCTGAGAAATATGAGCATGGAAAGCAGTCTGAGTGGAGCGTGGCATGCATTTGCTCAGCCCTGTTCCGACATGAGACAATGATGGTCAAGTGACCAACCCAAATAGCTGTGATGGAACAGAGCTTTTGTGAATGAAGTGTAATGTCTCTTGTCTCTGTTTATGTCATCTCACCATTCTGTCTGTCTGGGCAACACTGTCTGGAACAGACGGACAACGTCACAACCTGGCAGTCACGATTGCAAAGCAAATCTATTGTCATATTGTCTGCCTAACTCTGACTGTGAGGCTGAATGTCTATGTTTGTGAACTTGCTTTGTGGTTTTATTTTTCTAATGGAAGGGACTTTTAGCATAAAGCAAATATAATCACATTACTTTAAGTAAACACCAATAATGCTGGATAAAACCCTGGCATTATTAGTTTTAAAATAACTAATAACCAAAAATCTTTCATTAGTATTTAAACGTTAATGTTTGTCAATGTGGTTACAGAATATTGTTCCAGAGAGCCCAGACCTGAAGATGGTTAATGACTGGACCAGGCTATGGTAGGTGTTAAAGGCATGGATGCTATTTGTAAACATGAGCCACTGTATTGTGCCCTGCATTGTCATCTGGGTTGAATCTTTGTACTATTCAGACAGCGCAGCATGGCCCAACTACAAAAGGGTAAACCCCCCTCCCCCGACCAACCTGTTTACACGAGGCTGTCTGTCTTCACAAAGCTGACAGCAAACAGCTTAGAACAGAAAGTTGTGACAGGGTGGAGGATTTTATTTTAACGTATCCATGTTGACTTGTTTTATCGAAAAGACAGGAGGGTTTGTAAATGCAGGTGGTTAAACCAACTGAATCCCATTGAAATAACTTAAACTTTTATTACAGCCCAAGTAAGAGCCAATTTAAAATGGGACCTGGTAAGAGTTTGTCTTGTGCTCGTCCTCACGTCTGAGTGACTTGTCTTAATTTATTTGTTAAACTGTAACAGACTGTAACTGTGTTGCAGAATTAATGTATAGCTCATAATTCACTGAGCCTAAATTAAATTGATTGTTTGACTTGTCTCCATCCTTTAAGTTTACTATTTGAGCATTTGACCACATAAAACTATCTCGTATGAAGGATTTTTAAGATGATCTGCTACTCTGTTTTCTCTTAGACTTATATTTTAATTGAAAAGAAAAGCAGCCCATTAATAGAAAGGTTAGATGGAAGATGGACCCTACACAAAGGATAACCGAGGAATGGCAACTACCAACAAGCAAAAGATGGTTAAGAAGAGCGGCTTCAGAAGGTCCAAAGCAACAACCCATATGAAACCACCAATTGAGTGCACATCCAGGGAGAAACCAGAAGCAAGCTTAGAAAATAAGCAGCCAAGACGATTAAAGCTCAGAGCAACGCAGTGCTCCAGAGACCACTATTATAGATGATGAAATAGAGGACTCAACAGGCAACGAAGATGAGACAAAGAAGTCCTTTTGTTGGTAAAGGAATGACGGTTTGACTGGAAAGACGACACGCAAGAGGACTAGCTTTCCTAGCAGGAAGTTCACCAGCAGCAGCAGCACATCTGGTGTGCAAGTAGTGAAGCCACAACAGGAGGAACATCATTGAGAAACATCAAGAAAATCATAGAGATGATCTGAGCAGAGCATACACCTAATTCTCCAGAAATTGCTGGCCGTTCAACGTCTTAGGGAATACCGTCTAAAGGCTCTCTACGACCAAATCAAATCCAGACTTGCAAACCTGAGGAAAGCAGAGTGGATGTATGTAAAAGAAGACAGTAGAGAACCTCTTCAAGTATGACTCCAAAGTATGCCAGAGATCTGCTAGTGAAGAAGACATTTGGGGTGTTTGTGACAGCTGCAGAGGAGTTGGAGAACAACTCAGTGACAGCAACAAGAATATCCCCCTTAATGGCCATGTGCCCATTCCTCAAGAATTTTCCCTCCAATTTATTACTGCAACACTTTCGAGCAGAAGTCTTCTTCAGTGTGTAACAGGCATTATTCACAGGTGAGACTCAGCATCTATATGAACTTGAAAGCCAACAATTACATCTGCAAATGGCTAGGTTTTCCTGTGTGCCTTTGTGAGGCCACCTTGTTAGGAAAAAAAACACATTTAAGCTACCACTGAAATGGACCAGCTTGAGTAGGGACCAGATGGGTTCAAAGCTTCAAATAAAGAGAGGAAAGTGTATTTGTTTTAGAAGCAACAAGAATAAGGGCGCCAAATAGCTTAGTGGATATTGTGCGCACAATATAAAGAGGCTGTAGTCCTGTTCCTCATGTCATTCTGAAAATTCAAATCCCTGTTTCCTACTCTATCCAATGACTGGCCCAAAAAGAAGTAACCAAAATGTATTAATGACTTATTTCCTCTAAGCCCATAGGAACTGGGGGAGAGGACAAATCAAGAAGCAATCACCATTGGGCCATAACATGGGCCAACATGTAAAAATCCACAGGTAGGCTAAGCTTCCTCATTAGGTCCACTTTTGACATCCTACCAAGATCCTGAAATGTACAAGTCTGGTTTGGCTCAAAACCAAACTGCTAGCTCTG